AGCGCTGAGGGATGCGTATGACACAAGAAATGACGATCAATTTATATTCACTTATTACATGGTAACAAGATACATCCGAGGCTTCGCTCATGCTCCACACGATGTGGCCACGACCGGGAGTGGTTGTCTAAGATGGAATGAGAAGCTAAATTTTCTAAAAGCGCTGAAAGTCTTTATTTGAATAATTCTAGTTTGATTTCTAGATGGTTTTTTGCGCAAAATTATGGACATGAGAAGACTTTTAGATAGTTAAAATGAGCTTTCACTATCGCTAAAGATAATCATAATCGGTTTGGTGAGATTTGAAATATGAATTTTTATACTTTTTATATATATTTTCACAAGAAGTTTCATAGTCGAGACATAGCTTCTTAGCAAATATTGAAGCGGCAATTTCTCGGTCCCAAAAATGTGAAGAACGATGAAATCAAATTTTTCATTTGGACATTGCTTCACGTTACTAGGACGCATATTAAGTGTTTTGCGGCTGCTATTCCTCACAAAGAGCCTTTCGAGGCTCTATGCACGCGGTGTCCCTTTTCCATGGAATTTAATTTAGTCCTCAAGTTCATCTGGATATCTAGGTTTCTATGGTATTTTCTTCCCATCTCTGATTTCTCGGATGCCGTCCACTAATTCCGGCGGGACATCCTTTTGTCCTCACGCATTCACAGCAGTTGGAATTTAAGCGGAAGAGGACAACAGTGCTCATTACTCTTTGGCACATTGTTCTCTGGGTAGAGCAATACTCCTCTAATTGTCCTTCCAAGAAATGTTTTCAGTTAGGATGCATTTGAGTGTCTCTCAGCCAGTGAAAATTAAATACACTTCCAACAATGCTCGCATTCTTCATCCCGCAGTTGAACCATTATTCTCTTTGGTTGATATTCATCTTTCCAATTAGAATTGCCTTTGTGTAAATTCTTAGGGTGATTTTCATGTGGATTTTGTGATATTTTCCGTCGGAATTTGCCATGAAATTCCATCCTTTGATATGTTTACTCTGACATGTTTGAGAAAATCATGTGTTGCACATAATGCAAACAAGAATACCAATGAAATGTGGTCAGTGATTTGCTTGATATTGCAAAATAGTCACTTCTGTGTCATTAGCAGACTTAACTTTGAGCAAAAGCTTTATGTAAACTACTCATACTATCAGTCCATTTGAAGCTAAATATTTGATGTATCAGATTTGCTTTGAGACAAAGGAAGCAGCCTATCAAGTAATAAACCGAAAATGCGACATACAAATGATGCTTAACACTCTCGGATTTATGCACATGATGGAGTTTCAGTCGTGAATTTGAGTATAGAAATAAATAATGAATAAGACAAATTCTCTTTGGATCTGCAAATTCATCGCAATGGAAACGAATTGCCTATTCTTCATTCTTCAATTCAACTATTTTTGTTCCATCACAGAGATAAAAAATGTGCTTTAAATTTATTTTTATTCCCTGTCGTGTGGAATTCTTTGCACTCTTTCATTTTGCATTTGGAGCTTTGTTTAGAGCTTTTGAGTTGTTATATAGGAATAAACCAACCGCGCCAATTCTAGGTATTCCCTTTGCCATCGCACTCAATGTGATGAATTTCACATATGATGTCCACATATATGAGAAAAGGGGCTCTCATGGGAATGGAAGTCTGGTTGTCAAGCACAAAGGGCTAAATATTGGACGAATGGCAATAGAGAAAGAATTTTTTAAATTTTATTTTACTTGTGAAATATTCGTTTTAATTTTCTGAGAGTTTTTTTCATAGTTAATTTAATCACCAGGACTTCAAGGACTTTTTGTTCGACAGATTTGCTCCCTTAATGAACTGACGGAATCACATGTGTCTCACATGTTAACATACAAAGTCCATTTTCCAGTTGAGAAATTAGCAAATATTCACTCAATATGTGCATTCTGAATTGATCACATGTACCGCAAATAATCGGATTACCTCGTAAACCATTATGAAATGAATTATACATTTAACAATGTAATCATTATAAATAAATTGAAGAAGCCACTCGTTATCTAAGCTAATCTCTCTGAGGCACTTCTTATTACATCACCAAGCCATAACGTGACACAGTGGCCTGATTTTCCTAAAGTTTTCCCAACGCGAATTACTCGGGACTGTTCTAAATCCCCCTTTCCAAAGCGACACGGTGCATGTTTTCCACTGATTCCGGGGGGGAAATGACTCTATCAGCATCATAACGAGTGTGTCGCAGAGCTCTAAATAGCCAAATTTGGTGTTGGTGAAAAGTTTACAAAATATTTAAACTCTGCACATGGCAAATGGGACGTCTTAAGCACATTCGAGCACTGTGGATGATGTGCCGGGTGAGAAGATTGCTCAAGTTTTTATCGCACTGGAGGAGCTGATGTGTCGTGCACATTGGAAATAATCCACTAAACTTCTATCGGGATGGGAAGACGAGGAGTGTCTCATGACTGTGGCTTTCTTCACACTTCACTGAACATGTGAGATTTATCTGGCAAGCTGAATTCACAAGGATCACGTGCTGGGGCTGAGACAAATGGCGGCAGACTCTTTGTCACCAATCGGACAGCGATGAGGACTTAAGACACGATATCCTTGCTGATTTGCTGATGATCCGGAATGTATTTCATTTCGGGATACGTCCAGTGAGAAATGATGCATTTTATAGCCGTAATTTTCACTTTACTTACTGAAGAGAAATTAATCTTGCTGAAGGATTTTTTTTTCTACATGAAAACTCTGAAGAGTATTGACCAAGGGTTAAGTCATAAAGGAATAGTGTAGTCACCCCAAGGCAGCAATCCAAATTATTTATCTCAAAAGCTTCACATATATAAAGAAAGCTACAATATTACGCTTAATTGAAAAATACCAGGAAAAATACAATTAAAAGTTTGCTTTTTATGTGAAATGCACTTAGTGAAGACTTAAAAGTGATTTTTCCTGATAACTGGAGCAATACCGGAAGAGAGAAATTACAAGGCTTTTCTCCCCACAATCACACATTGATGTGTTGTGATTTTTCTCTAAATGTTTCACTTTGTGAACAATAAAATCCACACGTAAGGTCTAAAGCGATCGGAAAGTTCAACTTTGCAGTCCCCAGGGAATTACATGGACTTGTGGGTGTGAGAGACCATCGATGAGGGATGACGGTCTGTTGGAGTAATTGAGGAAATAAATCGAAACAATTGAGGGAAATGCCATCAAAGTGGTAATTTTCGATGGAGGCAATCAATTGAATAAATCTACATAAATTTCCATTTCACTTTGTGTTGCCCTTTGGCCTCCACTTTGGCGGCAATTAAGTGGCAAAAGAGCGGAGCTTTCACGTCAATTTCTCCGCCATCTAAGCTCCCTGTTGGCCCAGGGAGAGTGTATCATTGCGTGAAAGTTTTTGGGAAGTTGCGGCGGCTCTTTTTTCACCCATCGCGGCGAGGGCACTTTAGGGACAAGCATTAAAAGAATCCCCCCCGGAGGAAAGTTTTTCTCACCACAAATTTGATTGGGAAATCATGACACGACTTGGGGCGCTCTCGAGTCACTCTCCTTGGGGCCACCCTCATGCGAAAACAGATGGGGTGGCACGGCGAGCACTCAGACGATTCCTTATCACTCTCCGCAGTGTGTTATAAGTTGAATCATCCTCATTGAGTATGGAAGTTTGTTTGTCCTCCGCCTCAAACCCACTCTCGGAATCGCTTGTGTGAGAGAGTTTGGGAAAGTTACACTTGCCACCAGTTCCACAACTGGAATTTATTCAAACAGACTGTGCGGTGGGCCAGAGCGAGCTCTGCTCCTCGGGAGTGAAGGAAGGGCGACAGTGGAAGGTGTGAGTGATTTTATGTAACAGCCAATGTGGTAGACAATTTCCCTTTCGGCGGCGACACTGTGGGTGGCTTTTTGTTCCACAAAATAAATTTTCGCCTCGATAAGATTCACTTCCGGCTGTTTACCTCATTTTTCCACCCTCTCCACGCGGCGCTCAAGCCCACCCACATCGGGTGAGAAGATTGTCTTTAAAGGGGCGAATCAATACATGTGATCGTGAGGGTGTGTACTTAAAGACTTCTCCATTTCCTCTCGCAAAAGCATTTTCTCCCCATCATTCCTCGTATCTCATACGTCCTATATATATATATGTTTTTTCCGATTTTTCCGCCCTCGTGCAAAATCTAGCGCGAACCGGGGAATATTTTCTCCGGTAGTGAGATCAAATAGCAATAATTTTAGCACTATTTGTCTCTCGCTGCCTTCCTTTCTGCCCTTGCTGGAGAATAAATTTCACAAACAGAATTCCAACAAATTCACAGAGTCTCCAAATTGTGTCATGAAATCTGAATTTACTTCACAAATGAAGAAATATTTGATTGCTTTTTCCGTGAGATTAGTGAATACTTGGAATTTCTGAGAGACGGAATATTTCAAATTGAGTATTTTATGCAGTGTTTTTACCAGGAAGTGCAGAAGAAGGCAAAGTGAAATGTACTCTTCTTACATATAAGCTTATGTTTATAACCAGCATGATTACCTTTTTTCTTCAATAGTGTGTGGAATTCGTAACAATTTGGCTCTAGTATTAAGCCTTTGAAGTTCTGTTTGTAACTCTTTTCGCCTTCCATTTGGGTGATAAGACAAGGCGAGTGCTAAAGAGACTTTGAGTGTCGTGCGGTGAAATACTAAATCAGTTTATTTTAACCACTTCATTTCAAACTCCATCCCATGATTTTTATCAGTTAATTTGGTGAAATAAAGAGAGCGAAACCACTCCGCCGTCCAGCAATAAAAATAAACACGAAGCAATGCTGGTAATTGGATTTTCCACCCACAGCTCGACGCCACTGTCCCGGCTTTTGCCGGCAGGGTTGGCGAGGGGTGGGACCACCCCCTTGTTAGGCATCTTCCACACTTAAATACTCCGTGCAATGTGAAGGAGTGGAGAATGGCAACTCAATCTCATGGCTCTTTTTTCGCCACTTCGCTGTGGCTCTTTTCAGGCAGAAGAGGAGAATTTGCGTCCCCCTCGGTGCAGGCTAGCTCACCTGAATAGCCTGACGAATTGTTTGGGCGAGCGTGCGGCGAAGAGGCAAATGACAAGCATGGATCGTAGTAAAATGTTTGCCAAGTTGATATTGGCACTGCTGAATGTTCTCGCCGGTCAGCATCAGCCAGGTGAGCTTGAATAATGAATTAGCGACTGTGAAGCTTACTCGTGTGCAATAGAAATGATGAAGGCATCTCGCTGACACTCACATACAATTCACCCCATGAATTCCAGTGATAATCTCCACTTTAATCATGTCACATTCATAAGTACTTCATAATACTTCAATTTCTGATTTCTCACTATATCAAAATTAATGCTAAATGCAATTTATATCAATTAAAGTGTTCATAGCAAACATTAATTAACCTTTCCGACATGAAATATCATCAATTCTATTAATGTAAGTACATTTTGAATATCAGTGAATATTTATAATTTTGAATAATTTGCTGATATCCTTTGAAGGGAGGCATAATTGTAGAAGATTTCCTTTATTCTCGATTTCAACGATATCAGTTCCAATTAACAATGAGCATTATGACATCCCTTAAAATTTCTAGTTCAATTAACTTGTGTAAATGATTTAATTAAAATTATAATGTGAAATCCACACTTACAAAGCAATATAACAAATATCTGTATACAATAAAGCAAACTATGTCTAAACGAGCATATTTGTCCACTAACGAATGCTTTGATGTCGAAATTCATTCTCTTCATGTTTCTCAAATTTGCGCAAAACAATAAATTGGAAGCAATGTAATTGGAAAACTACTTTTCTGCGTATTGACAATAAAATTCCCTTTTATTCTGCAATTTATTTGTAACAAAAACTGCACAATTGTTTTCTGTTTTCGACATTAAAACATATTTTAATTGATTTTCTAGCCAGAAGCATTCAATTATCAAATGCTTTTGCATATCAGTGATCTTTTATAATCATGACGGCTCTTCTGCTCGCAGTTTATCAATGAATTTATTGATTGAATTTTCACTCATTGAACTCATTTTGGGTGGATTGCAACTGAACTTGCTTATTATCAATTGATGACTTTCAGTCTAGAGAACATCTTTCAATTCAATTCAAATTACCAAAGTGAAAACTCATGCTGGAATTGTATGTGTGTGGACACTTGTACGTCAATGTCCACTGGCATGAGTGTCACCGGGTGTGGATGTGCAGACGAAGAGTGAATGACACCCACAATAGGTTGATGGGAAAGTTTTCGTGTGGTGTTGATTGAATTTGTGCTGCATTGATGACTATTCTCTGTGCCACTTCAGGTGTCTGTCAGGACATGGGAGATGGTGGCGTGCCCACAGTGCTGCCCAAGTTCATCTCACGTGGAAATCTATACAAAGTCACCACGGGAGACACTGTTACGCTGCCATGTCGAGTGCAAAACCTCGGCACTTTCATTCTCCTCTGGCGACGTGGCAGTTCCGTTCTCACTGCCGGACCACTCATGATCACGCGCGACAATCGCTTCAAGCTGGCAGATCCGTACGATCTGCAGATCCACGGAGTGAAGACACAGGACGCCGGCGACTACATCTGTCAGATTGGTGACCAGGAGACCAGAGATCAGGTGCACACACTTGAGATTTTAGGTAAGTGTAAAAGTGACCCTAAGGAGCCTCACAGAAATACTATAACTGTATATTTTCTGTAGAAATTAATCACTTATTGTAGTGTAAAAGCATTTAAACTGCCTTTCCTGGAAATTTAGTTCAATTAATCAGTTATTAGCTTTATTTTAAATTCACAATTAGGACTTATTTTCCTGATCATGCCCATTCATTTTCCATAAAATGAATCGCAAACTATGACCTATTTATTTCCCAGCCATTCGTTGGAATCAAGGAAATTTACATTTGCATTTGAGTAGCTTAATTTGCGAGATAGTTTCTCGCAATTCAACTGAATTTCACGGTGGCAAATCAAATCATTCCAATTACCCTAAAAGGGTGAGAGGCAAATAGCATGAAAATGTTCCATTAGAGGAGCAAACAAATTCTCAAATCAACCTGTTTGACTCGGAATTATCAAAATAATCAGCTGTGCAGTTCAGTATGGTTCCAAATTAATGTGTCCTCCTCCTCGTTGTTTTCTCTTGATCAGTGCCACCGACTGTTCGCGCAGTGCCCCAAAACGGCCAGGTGACCGCCAGGAAGGGCAGCACCGTGACCCTGGAGTGCAAGGCGTCCGGCAATCCCGTTCCGTCTGTCTTCTGGTACAAGAGGGACCCCCTGGCCGGCTCCACCCATCTCTCGGACAGCTCAACACTTGTGCTGGAGCGCGTGGAGCGGCAGCATGCCGGGGTGTATCTGTGCGCAGCCGATAATGGTGTGAGAGAGCCTGTCTCAGCAGATGTTCAGCTCACAGTCCTGTGTAAGTACATGCGGCATGGCGCTGGCCATTTCTTTGTCCCCATACAACTTTCACAACAGACGAACGGCAAAGTTTCATTTCACAAAACTCCATTACAACTTCTGCGTGCAGTGATTTCTTGCTTTGATTGTGCACAGTTGTAAAGAATCATACACTGCATGGAGCACTCTCTCAGGCTGTTAGTGTCGTTTCATCCTCTGCAATGCAACTCTTTGACGATGAAAGGATGTGGGTTGAAAAATTATTTGATGTTCTTTTGTGCGGGGAAATGTCATTGATGAGGAAAATCAAGGGTCACATATTTCTATGCCACATCGCATTGCTATATTGGTTTACATTCCAAAGAATACATCAATATCAATCAATGTGATGATGTTGCAATATTCCTGCAAGGAAACTCTAGAAATAATAATAACTTTTTCACATTCATCAGTCTTTTACTCAGATTGCAATTCCATAATTTTAGTTGCGAAAGCTTTATTTTCTATTCTCAATATTTTCAACAACTTGGACGAACATATTATAGAATAAAAGTCATTAAAGCTTTCGACTCTTTAAAATATTATTTTGACAAATACTCTAAGGCTTAAGAATAAAAGCTGCCAGAGGGACACAATCCCGCATTATTTTCCTCTCAACATTTCATACACCAATTTTTCACAGAATTTGTTTCACATATAGAGGATTTATTTACAGCAATTTGACATGATGGTGGAAATAAAACTCGTGGGGATGAAAAAAAAACTGCTGAAAATACTCCACGGTAATATTTAATGATAGCACTTTCCAATAAATCATATGAAGTCATCTGTAAGCTCCATTCGATTCGCATTCATTACTGTGGGGCTTTTTTTCAGCGCAGCCACTCAGTGCGGCTCAGAGGGAAATAATTCATAATCAGGGGGATATGAATTGTTAATTTACAACTGAAAATTACACTCGAGAGAGAGAGTAAATCCGCTTGCATGCAAAATTTTCAAATGATTTTCTGGGTGTTTTTCGTGACTTTTTCGTGTGACTCTGTTAAAAGAAAATTCTACATAGAATTTGAAAAAAAATGTCTCATTGACAGCACGTGGAAATGCTAAATTTCCTCCAAATTATTCCAGACGATATGCAAAATTATTAAGATTGTATAAAAACATCAGATAGAAATTATGCAGGAAATTTTCAACCTTATAATTTCAAATTATTAGTCGCGAAGTGGAAAACATTTTTTCAGCTGACTCTCTTGTGAAAAAAAATCACATTAAAGTCGACGATGCTTTTGAAATAAAGGAAGCTTAAGGAAGGAAAATGGTGAAATTTATGCTAACTCGTTATAAAACATTGACACGAGAACACAATTAACATGCTTTTTACAGTCACTGCTTATCGATGTTAATTTTCACATGAAACCCTTTTTTTCCTATTTCCCTGTAAATTTCCTGTTTTGCAGCGAAAAGTGCAAATTTTACTGCATTTTCATTTGCAATTGCTCACAATTTGTGAACTCTTTACAATATAGATTTCACCAGAAAACATAATTATTTGTGATATGATACACAAAAGCTTTTTGCGGTTTTGACTTTTAATGGTAACCTAAAAAAGTTAAAAATTAATTTCATCAACAATATTTTAAGCCATTTTGCCCACTAAACTTTTCCAATATCAAGCCAACGTGTCAGTGTAAAAATTATGCAACATAAATTTGCTTCTCATGTTGCATGAAATAAGCAAAATATGGTTTTGGATGCAGGCAAATGAATTAATTTGCATGCTGTAGGGAAAAGTGGAATCAGTGAATGAACCCAGCAGCTGAATTTCATTAAAAGTTGATGTCCTCCTCCTTCTCTTGGCTGAGAAAGCGGGGCGATTTCAAATTACAATTAAATTCATAAAACCCACCCTCTTTGGCACCCTTTTCTTGTCACTCCCATTCGGCACGTTTTAACGTCCGTCGCGATGGATTAAAAGTGTGCCCGGAGTTGGATTTATTGATGCAATTGATGGGCGAAATTTATTGCTCTGTTGTGATTTTTTTTAGCTGCGCTATAAAGGAGAAAAACTTCCGGGAAGAAGGATGTTTTCCTCCTGTGCGAGGAAAGCGTCTCGCGAGGATATTTATGAGGAAAACTATTAAATTTTTTCGCCAAGAGGAGAAGTTTTATTTTTTTTTAACACAGAATCGTGTGTTTGTGATGCTTTTGCAGATCTTTTTCTGAGTTTTCTAGCACAGCGAAAAGCGACTGGAAATAGATTATATTTTCATCTATTTCTACCTGGAAACACTTAAACACACTCACGGTTGAGATGAAACTCGTCATACTTATTATTTCCATGGATTTTCCTGAGAAAATTTCATTTTTTTCTGCCTCTGACAGTCAAAAGCTAACGAGCAACCCACACTCTGTGGAATTGTGAGAGAGTTTATGTTATTCAAGGAGATGATTTCTCGAAGCACGTTTTAAAGATGCTTAAGAATCATGCGCAAAATAAAAAGGTGAAATAAATTTTTGGAAAGATAATAATTCCATGCCCATGAGAATCGATCTTGGCAATCAGCAATTCGTGGATTAGCATGAGGAATCGCTAAATTTATTTACCTATTCAAATTCCTCCCCCGAGAAGCTATTCAATGTGAGTGGAAAATCCACCCAAGAGACGCTGTGCAGCATCACGAATAAACACCACCTTCAAGGTGGATTTCTCCATCATTTTTTCCCGTATTTATCGCTTTCCTGCCTCGTGGCAATATTTTAGTGGCTAAATAAATGCAACTGTTAAATTTATGTGAAACATGTTGGGCCAATCAATCGGATATTCATGATTTTCTTTTTCAAAATATTTTCATGATTATTTACATTTTCACCCAGAATTTACTGTACGCGTGATTTTCGGAAGAATCATCGAGAGAGAGCGCATAAATTTTATTGGCGAAATGGGAAATTTATGGGTCAATAAATTTAATTCGCCACAAGGAGAGAAAATTCGCCGCAAGCGATGTACACGATGGGACGAAGAGTCATTTTTCCTTGTTTCTCAATTTCACGAACAGTAATTAGGGCCACAAATGCAAAATTTCCTTTCTGTGAAAATTGAATAATTCATAAAAATTGGAAATGTTGTGAAATGAATATTTTAGAAACAAATTAAACGTTTTAATTTTGAACATTTCTATTCATTCCAAGACTAACGATTTTAATGTCCGTTTGATTATTGTCTAGGATAAAGTCGCGAGGGTTTTAATTAACTGTGATATTTTCTAATAAAATATATATTTTCCTCTTTCACTTTGCAGTTAATTTTCCAACATAAAGTGAAAGGTTGAAAGGTTTAATGAAAAATATTTACAAATACTTTTTAATGAATGTGATTAGGCAATAATTGACACATTTCACGTTGAATAAGTTTCAGAGATGAAAATAAAATCCTCCACAAATTTATGGATTTATGCAGTTTTCTAAAAATACTGAAAGCATTTTCCGTGTTGTGGAAACTCCGGAACAGGAACAGTTCAGGAAATTGAACATCTTGAAAATGAGGTTGTATTGACATTTCTTTTTCCGGAAGAGCAAAACAGTAAAGCTCAGCGGGTGAATGAAAGCTATTTCAATTGAAATACAAAACTCAAGAGACTTGAGATTAAAATAAGAGTTTAAAGGCAATTGACCGAAACTGCCCCACTCTCCTCTATTCCCTTTGCTGTGTGATTTTCTCCACAAAGTCCATGTGAAAAGCTGAACTCGAATCGGGTCAAAACATCATGACACGCCAAATTGCAAAGTTGAAGGCATTGAGTGAAAGCCAGCGAGCACAGAACTGCGGCCCCAGAGATTGCGGGTGGGGCGCGCCACCCCAAGGCGAAGAATGTGCGATGATTTGTACATGTGCGGCCGCCACGTGAGCATGTCGTGGGATGTTAAACGAAACTGTCGGGTAATTGATACAGATGAGCTTCTCCCACGTGAAATACATACTAATAATGGGTGCAAATGTTCGCGAGACGCGAGTGATTTGTGTTGTGATGGTGCCATAATATAGAAGGTGACTGTAAAATATTCTCCTCCGCGTGAAAGGGGATGGGCTGGCAATATGGTCTCGGCGTTGCTAAAAGAGGATGAATATGATGGGGAAAATTAAATGGCATTTTCACACGTTGCCAGCGACTGGACATGAATTATTCAGTGTGGAGTTTTGCACAGGACTTGATTGAAATAGTGCCTTTTGAGGGGGTTGGCGAGAGAGAGAGAGAGAAAAAAAATCACCCAACGTAGGCGGAAATTCTCGTTGACTTTCAGGTTCTGGAGCGGAATCCGAAATCCTTTTGCCAGTTGCACAACTTTTGCCACATAGTTTGGGGTTGTGCGCACTTCGTCAGAGTCACTGGGGTGAAACTTTAATTTTCCACGGCATGGCAAAAGTGCAGCAGGAAGCGCTTTTATGCCAAGATGATGACTCTGTTGCCGAGCCAATTTCCTATAACTTTGTGCACTGTATATCACCCGAAATTGTTGATCCTCCGCCGCCCTGTGTTCTCTCATGCGATGCAAGGTGAATTTTGAAGGGGTATTCAAATGGGATTTCAACATGTTTGACAGAGAAATTTCCTGAAATTTTGATTACATGTTGAAGTTAGATGACAGAAATTCTTCAGAATCATCTTGTGGTGAGATGAAAAAATCATGACTATTCTGGAAAAATCCCACATTCGTAAGATGAGACGAGGAAGAGTGAAGGAGGCAGAGTTAATTTCAATAAATTGAATAATGAATTAAGTCTTGGCAAAGTGTGCAGCAAGAGAACTTCCCCAAGTGGCTGTACATCCGCTGTCGAAAGTTCCTGCACGACTTTCACATCTGATTTCCTCTCTCTGCAGCTCCGCCGGAGATCACAGTGGAGAAGAGCTGGGTGCACGCCAGCGAAGGCCACGATGTGGAGTTGTGCTGCACTGTGCATGGCGACAGCAGCTCTGAGATGCTCTGGTTCCAGAACTCCTTCCTGCTGGACCCCACCGACCGGCGCACCATGCACTCTGTGGGCGAGCAGTACATCCTCTCGATCAGGAACTTCCAGACGTCGGACTTTGGGAATTACAGCTGCGTGGCGGACAACTCTCTGGGGCGCACGAAGAAGTACATCGAGGTTTCGGGGCGCCCTGGACCGGCCACTTTCCTCTCTCCGGCCTACAGTGGCTTCTTGGACGTCTACAATCTCACCTGGAACGTGGAATCGATTCCGCCACTCGAGGAGGTCAGGCTACTCTATAGAAAACTTTTGGTAAGTGAATAAGATCTCCTATAAATAGGAATAACCTAGTTTCTCTGAATTATGCTATTCTCAGTATTAATTATGTGTCCTCAACTGTCCATTAAAAAAATTTACCGTCCACATTTAAATCACTCTGCCATTATTCAATTAAGTCTGCAATCATTTTTGAGCGTTTTTATGACATTAAATTTCCTCTCAGCTCATTTTGTGGTAGATTTTGGGGCATTCGCTTGGGTATTTGTATGACATTTACACCCGGGCGAAGGATTTTCCGCCTTCCCAAATTTACGGCCCGGCACTTGACACTCTGGTCGTCTGCAACCGCTGGCAGAGACCCTCCTTGGCCAGGTGTCAGCAATAATTCTGGCAGCTTCTCACGCATAACCACCTCCCCTCCTGATCCATTGCAGATGAACGATACTTACCAGCATCCTGGAAAGTGGCACGATGTCGTGCTGGTGCCCACGCCGACACGCTCAGCGCCCAACCACTTCATCATGTCGCACATCATCAAGGGCCTGGAGCGGAATTCCGTCTACGAGGCGATTATCCAGGCGAAGAATCGATATGGATGGAACGAGGTAATTGACACGGGCCCCGTTTTGCCACCCGACCCCATAAATAACACGATGGATTGCTGTCAAATTGACGACGGTGGGAAAATGTTGATGAGACGGAGGAGACACTCATAAATCTCCTCACATTTCACCCTCACGCACGATCCCTGGACACTTTCACCCGGAATCCTTACGTGCCTCGCCCCAGGTACACTCTCATTTATTTCCTGGGATTTTCCGGGCTCGACTCCCCCTCGCGACAGCGCCATTCAATCAATGATGCTCCTTGGCGAAATTCAGTGAATTGCTCAGGGTAAAATAATACGCACTTCAAATTGAGTAACAAAGCGCTCGATTGAGTGGCTGGCAATGGAGGAACTCATTGATCATGGGAAATGCGGACGTTCTTTGTTTTCATATAAGCTTCAGCGGTTCTTCTTGGTATTTTGCAAATTATTATTCCCGCAAATAAACTCAGGGGTGCGTTAATTGTTCTACATATTGATGATGATCCACATTTCAATAAGGGCGAAGCAGCAAGAGAACAGACACGCAAATTATGTGCACGAAAATTAATTGTGCGCACATGTAGTATTAGTAAATATTGCACAAATAAGAGACTTGTTAAGTAAGAGGAAGCAAAATCGTTCGTTTCCGAGAATTCACATCAACTTCAAAGTAACAGTTTGTTTGATTTAACAAATCTGATTTTTTAGAGAAAATATGGAAAATACATATTTGCGCTTTCCACGTGATCCTATTTTAATGAGTGTCACTGTATTTTCCGAAAAATTACCAAATAATTCATCAGCTTGTGATTGTAATTAATTTTCCAATGTCAAACATCAAAGACACGAGAATTATATGCGTAAAATATAATTTTGGCACATGGCAAATCAATTAAAGCCTAACAATTTACTTTGTTGTGAAAATGTGATTGAAAAATTCTGAGAAAATCTCTTGTGTGGAGTGAATTTTCGTGGAAATTTTTTTCAAAAATATTTTTGTGATTATCTCAAAATGCGGATTATGTGTCTCAAGAAAAGCCACGCAGAGTAGCACATGCCTGAGCTTCGGAGGAGAGCTTTTGAGGATGAATTTCTATGTGGGTGTCTGTTTGGAAAGTCATTTTAATATTTCTCCAATAATTCATTCTTGGGGATTTTCACGTGTATTCCCAGAAGATTTTCTCAATACACGCTTCTTTGGCATGTTGCTGGCTTTGGATGATGGGAAAAATCATGAGAATTCGTGACACAGGTGCATTGAATGCTGAAAAATCAATTCAGAAGTTGATTGCAATTGACAACAAAACAATTTTCTAGAGGAACCAAGAGATCCATAAGAGCGTCTGTGAAGAATCGAGAATGGAAAAATTCATCTTGACTTGACTGCATTTCTCATTTTTCTCTTCAAATTAGTTGTTAGGAAGTGGAATACTTTGAGGATGAGCTCTGGCAGTGCAGAAACGCCAAAGTGAAAAGGTAAGACGAAGTGGGAGGCAAACTGTGAAGATGAAGAGACTCAACATAATTAACTTTCCTTGGTGGAGAGCGTCTTTCAACCTCTACAAACAATTTCTTGCTTCCATAATCTGAGTATAATATCGCATTTTTCTCATTTTCCGCTGCACTTCATGATTGCAGAGAGTATAAGGGATTTTCCTTCTGTTTGATGGAATTATTTTTTCAGGGTAATTTAAATTGCTGGGGCGAGCTTTTAGGTAAATATTAGCATAATATTTGTTCGAGTTGTTGGGATATTTTTGTGAGCTGTGATTTTGTAGGTAAATATGAATTAAAGTGACACTATTTGAAGTGAGTTATTTGGGGTCAGTTTGACAGCAATCCATCGGGACATTTTATATGATTAACTAAAGCCCTCAATCTAATGGGTGACTCTCACACTCGCGCCCCCGCGACTAATGATTGCGCGGTAATGACTGCGACCAAATATTTGCTAGATAAGTGATATCCATCAGTTCTACACGCGGAATTCCGAGACGCCGGCGGAGGACGTGGACTTCATGATGAGCTCCACTTCGGGGGCCGCGAGAATCGATTGGGGAGGCGCCGCCGCCGCCCTGCTGATGGCCCTGCAATCGCTCCGCCGCTGGATAATTGCGTCGTAAGTCTGTGGTTGTGTGGTATCTAAAATACGATATCGTGAGTTTATCTCACACTTAATGGTGCGTCTAATGCCAACATCATCCCCATTGCTGTTACCCTTTCAATGTTGCCCCAAAACATTGCCGTACAGTTATCAGTGTGTAAACTAACTTGAATGGACTTAATGGACACTCGTCTTGCTGACAACGGCGCCCCGCCAAAGGGACTCCTCCACTAGGGGGCCAGTGCATGCCAGCAAAGGTGTATTTGTGTACCCCATCAGACGTCCCCACGCTCCTCCTCCCTCACATCCTTCCGACTCCAAACGGACAGACATACTGCAAGTGCCTTAGAAAATTATGACATTTCGGACACGATAGAGACGGTTTAGGTGACGAAGAAATGAATAGGAAAAAAAGCGGAAAAATACGCTATGGCGAATCTTTGAGAGACAATGACGGAAAATTGGATAAAATTATAGATTAGATAAGTGAAAAAAAAAAGAAATTACTTTATAAGTTGTCTTGATCTTTAAGGTGATGATTATTTTAGGTTGAAGAAAAAGAAAAGTATTACATTATAGGCAATTTGCCAGACGCTCGATATTTTATCATAAAAGAGAGATCGCGAAAGCACTCCAGCGTCCCTGCCATCATCCATTTGCAATGTGAAGAATGTCTAGAGCTTGTGGAATGCATAAAAGCGAGAGGACGTTGTCTCCTTGGGGAGCAACCAGCCGTAAAATATTATTGGTCAATGCCTCGGCAGGAGTGAGAGCGTGTTTAAGTTACATAAGAGATAATGAGAAAACGATTTTCGGTTGGGAACTGCCATGAAGTGAGAGGTGAGGACATTACTTCATTCATTTAATTATCATTTTAATGCTTTCCACCCCGTCTTAGCACCAATTCTAATGTCAGGGACTGAACTATTCACCATAAACTACACCCAAAGCCCAGCGAGGAAAGGAGCGCTCAACTTATTGAGTGAAAACCCATGCGAGACGTGTTGGAATAATTCTATTCTCTGCATGAAAATGTGATCCACAAAGACTGTTTTTGAACCTCAAGAAGTGGATTTATAAAATTTTCCCTTTCTATCTTTAGCAAATTATCATTAAAATTGAAACGAGGAAGGAGAAATTGGAAGTTAAGCTTATCTACCCACTTTAAACACCATAAATTCCTCGAATTCATCCCAGAAATTTTCCTCTCTTCGACAAATGCAGCATGAATTTCAAGAATTCATGCCGAAGGACAAAAAATCCTTTGCATTCTTTGCACAGAGAAATAGGAATTTGACTAGGCGAGGCGCAAAAAAAGGCAAGACAGAGAAGAGCAGTGAATAAACATTTCCGTGCAAGATGTGCGAGTGCTGAGAGGAAAATGATGAGCTCTGTTTTCAATTTCCACCCCAGAGAAAAGAAAAGCATCTGCATTTGGGAGAGTGTAATTGAGTGAAAAGTGCAGAGGAGATTTTTCTTATGAACATAGCATATATAAGGCAGATTTAGAGTGAAATGAGTGGAGAAAAGAATCTCATCTTGGTTGAAAAGTGAGAATTATATTGCACAAAAATTGCCATTGCTGGCGTTATTTGATGCTTTAAGGAGCATTATTACTTCATGTTAACTGACCTTAAGTGGGACTTTTATGATTTTGCAAAGAGGGAATAATATTTCCCACAGCGACGAGGAATTTTAATTATGTATTCACCCCGTAAATATCTCATTTATTGCTTAGCAGGAATTGTATTTTCCACCGTTCTACATCATCATCCCTCTTAATTTTCCCCTTGAACGAATATAAACTTTCGCCGGAGTAAAAAAAGCACATAGCTATGCTATGAATTGAAAAGTTTCTTCCAATGTTACAGTTCTTCAATGTATAAATTAACGGCAACTATTGAGTGTGTTTCTCCAGGACTTTAATGAACTCCAAATGGAGTCCCAAAAAGTGGCACAAATTAATTGCTGATTTTTTATTTGTTCATCAGTTGCTTCGCGTTCAATTCAACTCTCGTGTTTGCATTTGAAGGAGTGTGAGAAATCCCTTTTAAAGCTTCAGTGAGCTTTCATGGCTTTTTTGTTCTGTCTATAAAGTCCAAAAGTGTACGCGAAGTTAATGTTATATTCTTACAGTAAATGCTATTCATGAAAATGAAGCAATATGATTTCGTTTATTGAATTGACAAAATTGGTGTGATACTTAAATAAAACATTATTGGCTCTTACTTTCCAAACTCTGATCTCAAACCAAATAGAATTTGTAATTACAGCTTTGATGTGCGATTTGAGTGGAAAATATTAATTAATATCGCTCAATTCTATGAAGACTTTTCCAGCGTCATATTTCACAATTTCACACAATGGCGTGGGAATTTCCAATAAACCCTCACTTGGCGGATGATGGCACAGGAGGTGGAGGACATCGCAGAGGTGTTCGCTTTCTGACACGAAGAGTCGCGCGCCGTCGAGATATTTTCGAGGATGGGTGATAAACTATCGAGTGAAGAACTGAAAATTAAATTCTTAGGAGAGACTTACGATATCACAACTTACCCCCTAAAATACCTTATAAAATAGACGAGTGTAAGAGTATAAACTTATCTCTAGAAAAGACGATGTATTGCATGTCTCATAATAAAACTGGGTGTAAAGTGTTAGAGCAAAAACTCTGAACGGCTTTTCATTTTCCCGCTTGGCAGCAATTGGCGCAGAAATGTGAGAAATTGCCCCAAAGGTGGAGGTGTATTAATGGACATACTTAAATAATCCACTGATAAATAATCTCGATGGAGTGAATAATTCCACGTCGTTGTATCGATAAATGACTCATTTTCTCTCCCATTCATTCCCACCTGTTCGTCGGAGAATTAAGGAGACTTTCTCACTTGGAAATCCATGATGACCACAAGCTATTAGCACGAGAACAAAATTGTGCATTTGCCATTCTCAAGTCAGGTGTTGTTTTCCCAAGAACGCTTATAAATTCAATAATTTATCAAGTCTCAAAGTTTGCACGTGTAATCCTTAATCTTTATTTATTAACACAGTGCAAAACATGTGCCTAATCATTCAGGAGAACTTTATTCAGTCACAAAGCTTTCACATAAATCTTTAGATTGTTGTTTTGTATTCATCAAAATTTTGGAGATTATTTCAACCGCAAAAAGTTAAGTATTAATGGTAAGTATATTATTATTAATTAGTCTAGTTTGTAGTTTTAAATAATAAATTCCGTACAAGAATTTGTACATAGTTTTCAATCAAGTTTACGATCATTCCAAGCTGTTGTTACAACGTCAACACATCGTTAAGCTGTATGCAGAGCTTTTCTTTATCGTGTTCTTTATCTTTTCAATTCCGCCTCTCTTCGAGAATTGTTTTCCAACATTTCTCAATTTTCTGAGCCACTCCGCAAAAGTCTTTAAGCTTCCCCTTGAAATAAATAGGAAAGAAGGAGAAATTGATCCAGTTCATGGTTTATTTAGAATTTCTGCCATATAAGAATTTTAATAAATTAACCGCCCAGAAGAATTAAGCCGCTAAACTTTGCTATGCGAAATCCAAGTGTAATTTAATTCCAGAAGCATTAATCAAATATTTATTCATGAATTTACTCACACTTCTCGTCTCGGACTCTGGGGCTTCCGTTGATGGATCATTGAGATGCTCCTTGTCCTAAGCTCATGAGGATTTCCTTTGGCTTTGGCGTGGTCTCGGTTGGGTAAATCTGCGGTTGAGCCGTGCACAAACAGCTCAACCCGTCTATTAAAATTCAATTTGTCCGTTCTTCAGCCAAATTACTCAGAAACACTCCATAGATTGTAAATTGGGGGAAAAATCGATGGCTGGCAATTGTGATGTGGGAAAAGGAGATATTTTTAAATTAATTGACGTTAATTTGCTGCTCCATGTGGTTGAAATTTTTTTAATTGCCCTCCGCGGGTGATAAATGGATAAAAGTGGTTGGCCTCATTTGAATGGGGTGTGAAATATGCTTATGATTTCCATTAAAGTGAACTCTTGCTTAGACTCTCGAGAGAATTAATGCTTCTCCTATGACGACAATATTCTGCAACACAGCCAGTACAGCATAATAATTGGATAAACGGATTCAGAAATGAGCCGCTCACTGTCAAATGTGATCGATTTGGAAGCCTCACAGGAAGTCAGCTGCTTGTTACACTGCCATTCATTAATATGATGGGAAATTGCATTGTTAGGCAAGTTGATAGACTCCACAGAGACACCCTTCAAGCTTTAATTGATTGTTTAATTTTAATGAGACCGGTCACCTGGAAAGTCTATCCTTTCCACATGACAAGCCGTAAATTATTTATAATTCACATTTAATTTGTCATCGTTGGCGTTTCCGCTGTTCTCTGTGCGGTCTCTGGGAGACTCGCTCACCACCCACACCCTGTATTTTCCACATTCAGCTCGTTAATGCTCCGACACTCACGATTCCGTGCGCCTCGTGGGCGAGAGAGAAGGGGGTAAATTACACTCACCCGACGTAATTGATAATAGTTTTCATATGTATATCGTCGTCACTCTCCCAACAGCCCTTCCCCACCGCACATTCTCACTCTCTGGGAGTTTTTCCGGCTGGTGGGAAGGTATCACTATCGCAGAGGGGGAAGTTATTTGAGAGCTTTTTGTCGTGCTTAACCCTTTGAATTTAATCCAACTCACACAAAGGCGAAAGGCTTCACCACACATTCAATGAGCAGAGATTCTGGTTGAGATTCTACTCGAAAGTATTATGACAATTCAAGAAGACTGACTAATTTCTACTCAATTCGTCTATTTGACACAAGAGGCATTAGAAATGAATGAGAAAGTGCAAAAACATCCTTTTATACTGGAAAATTTCAGAGGTTTCACCATGATTTGATCACAATATCCGTAAATTTTCCGCCCGACGATTATCCCAAAGCATTCTTTCTGGGTTGGAGTGCGAGAAGGGAAATCAATTTATGGGGTTTTTTCCTGACAGACAGCGACAAGTGGAAAGGGACAGAAATGTTGGGAAATATGAGTGGCATTTTTGAGGGATATTTCCCAAAATTATTTGTGATTACTCTCTGTGTAACATCTCTGCGGGCTTTTATACATTCAATCAATTCACTTGTTGTAAATTGTCGAAAAAATCTCTAAAGTGATCGGATTTTTGGTACAAGAAAAGCTTTAAAAATGAAATGGCATTAAAGAGGTATCAAGAGAGAATTGTGTGCTGCCCAACCTGGAGAAGTAAAGAGAAAGTCAGTGGCGCAAAGACATAAAACCCAATGACTATTTGCCACTCTGGCCGCATAACGCAATACTTTGACGATGGAAGCAGCGTCTTGGCGCCCACCGCCCACTTCCTGCCAGTCCGCCAGAGTCGACAGTGAGAGGAACTGAAATCGCGTGCGAGGGCGAGTTTCCACGAGAATTTATGCGGCCGGGCAGATGGAGGCGAGTTAATGTGTTAAATTAGCTTAGTTAATGTTAAAAACCAGTGTTTATTGTAAAGCAACAACGGACTCAACAGCCCTTAATAATCAATTTTCAACAAAATTGTTTGCACGAACGTATCGCCAACAGCACGCGAGCCCAGTTGTGGCGGAACTCTCTCTCTCTCTGGAGTGTAACCCCTTTTCGCTTGCTGTGTCAAAGCTCGTGACATTCGCCATTTATTTGTGCACTGTCCCGCACTTTCTGCGTTGCCGCCACCCACAACTTCCGCTTCGCGGGGTGGGAAAAATTCAATTTTCCACTCGCCGTGGCTTTCTTCAGATTACAAGCCCAAGAATTACGATTGGGCACAAGTCGCAAAAGAGAGTAAAGCAATAATTTTGGTGGTATTTAATATTTGCTTAATTAAAGACTGTAAATAAAGTATTGCACGATTTTAATCTGTATTCACAAGTGGAGATTCATTAGTTTTTGGCTAAATTCAGCGAAAAATGTAGCATTTTCATTCTACTTCATTGTAATTGTTCTATTGTAAAGAATAACATGGTTTGCACACACATAATAACTGAGTGTTTAAATATGATGCTTTTTCATTTCTGCAAACTTCCTGTTTGCTATGGTAATTTACAATGATCTTCTATGTATACTCACTACAGGTAATTATCCGCAAAATTTAGTATTATTTCATGTAGTTGATTTAAGCACACCTTCCGGATTCGACCGTGTTTGCTTGGTGAAAATGCGCTTGTAAACATAGCAAGAAGTTTCACCGCATTCTCACTATCTCGCATTGTGTTGCTTTCCCATGCAAATGCCATCAAAATCTCAACTCCTGATGATGTAGAGAATTTCCTTGAGTCGCGGATGAACGTCGATTCCGTTCAGTCTGCGATCCAGCGACTCGAAATCCGTCACTTCAATCTGCAAATGCATGTGTTTTTGCACGCCAATTCTCTACACGTGACTCTGCATGTCCTGCAATTCTCACCTCATGCCGCGCATCGCGCTCACGGTGGATTGTGGTGATGAATCGCTCAGCGAAAGCCACAATTCCGCACCAGGCGCGAAAATTGATTCCATCGTGGGGTGTGAGAGCCAGTTTGTCGGCAACGGTGGCCAGTGTTGTGGGGCTGCCGTGGGGGTGCAGGGCGGTTTTCAGGGCCTCCTGCATGTGCGCGGCTGGGATGAGGCGCTGACTGAGATACTCACTCGCCATGTCCTCGCATGCTGCCCAATCATCCTGTCCCGCCTCCCAGTCCGCCTCGCGCTCGCCCAGCTCGTCAATTTTTATCTCTGGAATGTACCTGATGAAGATGCGATGGTAGAGCTGCTTCCGATAATTGGACACGCTGACGTACTTGCTCAGGTACTCGACGGGAGTCAGTTCTGTATTGGCATGCGGAAAGATGAAAAATTTCAGCATTTCACATGTCCATTGCTTCAGATTCGGACTCAAAAGTATTAACGAAGATTGATTGGTAAATATCGGTAAGTGTTATGAACATGAAGTTTTAAGTTTTCTCTGCAATCAAAAAGCTTTTACGCATAAAAAATATTAGAAATATTTTAAAAATACACCGTAACTTTAAAATTCTGGATAAATTTATTCAACGGATAATTTAATTAATTAATTATAATTTACGGATTATTTCATCTGGCTGAATTCTTGGAAATTAAAAGAGACATTAAAAAAATTCATCTCAAATTTAAACTCTTCACTCCACATCAAAGCCATACAGTGTGGAAAAGTGAATAACCAGGATAAAATAGCGAGTGATAATGATGAAATTCTCCAACTTTCTACTAATTACACCTGCAAATCATTTGAAAGCTGTTGAAAAGTTTACACACTACAACCCTACACTTCAACTTCCAGTACTGCGCAATTGGTTTCAGTTGGAATAAAGTTAGAAATTCGCTCACTTATCTCATAAATCAGGAGTGGAATTATTTTTCGAAGCACTTTTTTTATTGAAATCATAACGTGAAATGAATATTGAATAAACCAAACTGTCACCATTGCATAACATGCTTAACTACATCTTTTAAAACATTAGTCTGTTGATTAGAGACTAAATTTTTGTTAATAAATGCTCTGAATTCTGAATACAGAATTCATGAGTCATAAAATTGATTTAGAAATGATGACGTGAAATATTTCATATGACATTTTTTTACAATCGCTTCTATTTTGTCCATGCAAGATAACCGATTCTAAAATTCTCCAGTGGAAGGAATAATTTGCAGTTTGCTATTTCCAGCTGCATGATAACAGACATATGAGTGACATAGTCTGCAATTTAATTATCAATTCCATCTAATACCGATTCATCACTTAATCAAAAATTGATGTGAATTCAAAAAGCTTTTCCACCACTTTTTGTCTGCTGTCGCTCATGATAAACCAATGATGATTCTGTGTGAATATTTGTCAGTAACAATATGCATAATTGAACAGAGTTCGCGGAATACCAATGACGGTGAGGGTGTTTATAAACGTGCTACTAAAATATTTAGATTATTTGCACCAATTATACCACAAATAAAATGCTTCTGTTATCATTTAAATGCCCTCAATTTCATTAAATGAAATGTAAATAATCAAATTATGTGAATAGCTGATCAGAATGCTTCCAATAATACTCCGCCAATCGATTATTCGCCCCGAAATCACGATTTGCAGTGCATTTTTCAGGGAAAAACCTGTAATGTGTATCTCTACAAATGAGATTCCGCACAGTGATAAATTTTAAGCACACTCATACCGAAAATTTCTTCAACATAATGAACAATTAATTGTAATTCCAACAGTACTCGCGGCAAGTTCTCAAATTCCCCCAAAATTACACAGAAACTCAACTGAGGAGAGTTACTGGAGGTGATGGAAATTTGCGCATTTCATGCTCGGCTGTGTTCTCTTCCTGGAGGGCTGTCAAACTTTATCCAATATGCGGAATGCGTGGGAATTTTGGGAATGACTTACGGCTCAAATCCGTCGAATCAATCGGCAATTCGAAACGTGAGACGAGTCGTGTGTACTTTCGCGGCAACGTGAGCCACTTTTCGTGATTCACTGCCGGCAAATTTAGCGTCTCACGTACGTTTCGAACGACTTCTGGTTCACGCGGATCCACATCAAAGGGCAGACTGCGGATGGCTTCGCGCAGAGCGGCGTTCATCTGTCAGGAGATGTGAGAGAGCAATAGAAGGAAGTTAGAATCAATGATATATACTGTATTAGAAGCACAGCTTTTTCGGTAAAACTCATCATTTTTCTAACACCAAATTACCACAGGTGTATTTTAAGTATTAATAATTTTTCACTATTGCATTAAACTGATATTTTTAATGGTCAGCAACACAACTTAACAATTATTTTATTAAAAGATAAAAAATGTCATATCGGTCATTTTGGGCTATTTAAAATTTATATTAATATGCGGTAATGGAAAAGTCATTTAACTGAAAAATCATCATCCTTTAAAGCTAAAAGCCGTAAAAATAGTATTGTGATGCTCACGAGCGACCCAAAGCTGTTCTCGATGACGTCTACGCAGATCCCACGCCGCAGGAGGCTCAGCAGGTCGTCGTCCAGGAAGGAGGACTCCCTTGCACTCTCCCTTCGCCCAGCTAGCGGAGTATCTTGGGAGGACTTTTTGGCAGGCATCAGAACGGACTCGTTTGTGGCGAGTGAGGCACGCTGGCTCTGGCTAGGAGAATCCGGGACGAGAGTGGCGACCTGTAACAAACAAGGGTGAGTTAATATGGTCAAGAGTGGTGTACAGATCATTGGAAGTTTAAGAAAGTTGAAATGTTGCAATTTATGCAATATTTGGTTCACAGCTTTGATTTCCTTTTGATTATTTGACTCTGAGAAACAATTTTAATACAAGTCCGCATTTTGAAAAACTGTAATTTTAGCGGAAGAAAAACATAAATTATTGTATGAAAACGTGAGTTTTAAAGTTGTCAGTTAGATTTCAGTTAGTTTTCGATTAGATTTCAGTTAGATTTTGGTAAAATTTCAGTTATTAGTTGATTTTAGTCTTGTTATAAACAATTCATGAAATCTGAAGTCCTGTGAAGTGTTAAGGATTCTTCATACAAATTGTGTAAGTTTCCGGAACTTGTGTACAGATTTCAGCCATATTATCCTCCCCTTGGCAACAAAGACCATCCAGTGTGTGTAAGACAGGAAGTCGATACACAAAGTACTCAAAGGTGAATTATTTGATGCCCACATCAAGTTCATTATGTGCTAAGTTTCCGGCGCGAATGCGAAACAAAGAGCGCACAACGCGTGGCTGAGCCATCAATTGCATATCACTCACTGGAGATTAATTAATTTCATATTTTTCCTTTGAAAGCACGAGTGTGAGAAGTTCTGCGAAATTCCAGGAATCAAAGGAAGTTTTAATATAATTAGCATTTGCTCCACTGGAAGTTGAGTCAAGCTGTGACTGAGAAAATTCTTGTGATGCTGCGGAGGGATTCTTTTTGCATTATGACTTCCACAGAACTTCACAAGGAGCAGATAAAATTCCGTGAATTTTCCAAGCGAAGCGCATCTCCGGAAGGTGCACTGAAGGGTAGTGAAATATTTATAGCAACCGTAAGCATAGTTTGGATGGATATGATGAAGGAATTTCCGCACAACTCATAAAATATATCAAAGTCTTCTCAGACATATTTGATCTCTATTTGACTCTTGGGTGAATATCCTTAATTCCCATGTATTTACCACTATATCCTTGCGAGAATAATTCCAGCGCGGAATTTATTGAGCTCTTGCGAAAATCCTCGGAAATCCTTCTCTGTTTGTCAATGGATTTTGGCACAAGTGGCGTCGAGTGCAACTAAAGTTCGTCTTCAAGTTGAGCCTCTTTTTGTCATGACACTCATAAGGGAGGGGATTTCCAGTGCTGCCAGCAAAAACGGAGATTCCTTGCATTTCACCCTGGGATTCAGTTCAAATGTCTCCTTTAATCTCGCACCCAAGGGAAAGTTAGACGAGTTTTGGCAATCTCTTCACGGTGGAAAGCGCGTCACTTTTTGCCACGCTGATTCACTTCAAGCGATTGTGAAGCAAAGTATTTGTCATCAATGTGCACTTAGGGTAATCACAATAGTTTATGAAGTATAATGAAGTAGTGAAATCAATCACAATTCTTTATCAACGATAAGTTAGACTCGAAGAGAATCATTTGATCTCACCTGCGTCACGGGATCCTGATTGGGACGGAAAGTGGCAGTGTCAGTTTGATTTCTGTTCTTCTTGCGTCTCTTTCCTCTACGCCGCGGCTCATCCTCCATTTCGTCTCTGGAGAAAGCGCAATTCTGCGGTGGACTCTCGACTCGACACTCCTTCGGCTCTGGGCTTCCGGTTGATGTCACGACCATGGAGGGCACTGGAGGCTTTCCTGCCTTCGTCTCCGCCTCCTTCTGCAACTTCTCGGGCTGCGGCGTCCAGTCGGTGATGGAAGAGGCGCCAGGAGCCGGCGACATGTCTGACGGAGCGTTCCAGTAGATTGTCTCCTGACTGTGACTCCGCCTGAGATCCAGAATCAGTCTCTTCTTCTCGCTGGAGCAGATCGTCTTGGGCTCCGGAGTCACGCAACGCCGGGAGTTCTTCAAGCTGCTCACACTCACGCGGGTCTTGTTGCTGATCACAGTCGGCGTGGGCGTCATTGGGCGTGAGTCAGTGTCCGTGAAACGCCTGAATAGCTCCTCGGGCACATTGTCAGGCAAATCGTACTCGGACATCTTCACGCTGGTGCTTCTGCGACGTCCGGCCGACGCCACGGAAGCCTCCTCGGATATTCCACAGCCCGCCAAAGCGTCATTTCGCTAATGGAGAATCTCATAGGTATTATAAAAGCATTAATTATATTCATACTGGATGACTCTTGAAATAAAACTTTGATCAAAGAGCGAACAAGTGAGAAAACATAGCAGAAAATCGCTGAGTAAAGTATGATGAAAGCGGCAAAGTTATGAATGCAAAAAGCTCTTACAATTGAGCACTTTTGTAAATATCAAAAACATGATGTTTTATTTAAAGAACAAATTTAAAATATGTATGTAAATTAAATAAGGGTTTCTCGTGAGCTGCATTCTGTGATCACAACATCATATTTAGAGTGTTGTTTCATCCGTTAATGAATGTACATTGACATGGTCCACTTGTGTAGTTTGACCTTTTCGCAACTTCCCTCGCAGTTGCAATTGCAAAATTAAACAGCATGATTTCCTGAGGAGTTTCTGCGACATGAGTCCACTTGATAATTGAATCTTGTTCCTCGGAACGTAAAAAGTTCGTGGCAGCATTTTAACGAGTGCCAGATGAAAAACTGTGTCACTCGCTTTGGCGATTCTGTCATGAGTTTCGCTTACCGTGAGGATGGCAAATGGATGAAAAATGTAAATGATAATGAGAAGAACAAACCCAAGACTGTTTGGCGAGTTTAACAACATTTTTAACTTCTGGAGTGGCCGGGTGGTTGCACAGCACCGAGCAGCTCTTCGAGTAGGGGTTGTAGATTGCGGCGAAGGGGCGCAGAAGGAGGGGTGCTCTCTGTGTCACTGCACAAATATCCGTAATTGCTCTCGATGGTTGCTGCTGGGCAAAGGACAAGTTACATCGCATCGTCACGGGCAAAAAAACGGAGGAGAAGTCATCTTCCGGCAAAATTGCACCCACTTGTGTGATCCGGTGGCCCACTTTCGGTTGACTGGCAATTAATCCCGTGTGACTGGAAATACTCATCGTGTGAATTGCTGCCCAGCTGACGAGCAGGCGGGTGCGGAGGGTCGCCTTTTATTGTGGTCTCGTGCACATCCCCCAGCCACCCCACGACCCGCACTCAGCATCCACTATTTTACGATCTGCACACACAAACACACTTTTATCGTTCGGATGGAATTAAATTTTTGATTCACACAGCACAAATAGGACGGGACACGACGGCAGAACTGCGGACACTCTCGAGAGGGTGGCAAAGGAAAAAAGAGTGGCCACGAGATTCGCACACAATTGACACTGAGGCTGTTGAAAAAAGCGAAACCGAGGGATTTGCCAAGAGCGAAAATGATTTCATTTGATTTTATTGATCCAACACGTCGTTACTGGGAAGCAAACCCAGGCTAACGCTTCCCTCCCCTAAAGCTATACGATGTAGCGTCGCATTTTTCTACGCGTCAGTGTACAAAATGCAAATAGAGAACACGTGGGGTGTTTTTATTGACAGAGGGGTAGACAAACATTATATGAAATGCACGTTCGAGTTTTTTTTTGTGTCATCAATTTTTCGCTAAGTCAATTTGGAGTGTGTTTAAATTTCCCCGAAACAACCAATTAAATTTCAAATAAAAGGATACCAATTTAATTAACAACCACGAAAAAAAAACATTTTGTGTTACTTTTAATAAATTCTCTCTTTTCATACGTCATTTCATTATTGAACTTTAATTTATGGAATTTCACATCGTGTGAGTAATTTAGAAAATGTCAAACAACATGAAACGAAAATTCGTCATCTGCACAAATGATGCGTGGTTTTTACATAAATAATGAGTATCGCCACAATCATGGTAAATAGATCAAAGTTTTTGGATTTTTAATTATGTTATGCAGAGAGTTTCTACATGAAACACTAACATCACACGCTTTTTCGATTAAAATCAACTCACATAGGTAGCAAAAAAGCTCTTTCTCTGGGCTCTTTGACAGCCATGACAAAAGTGCCCCGGGGAGGCATTTGTGGGTTATTATCGGAAATTATTGTGTTACTCTGTTTGCGTAAATTGGATCAATATCTCATGGTATTTCTGCCATGGAAGAGATAATAGTCCCATACTAAGAATGCCAGAGGTCAGGAATTATTGAATTTCCATTGTCTTCCCGTTTGTCAGCCACAAAAAAATCACCCCTTGTGAAGAGCACTTGAGAATGTCTTTCAATGAAGGGAAGGAAAATACTGGGGAATTTTAATTGATGAGGAAGAAGACGGATTCCGCGTGGGAAATTAAAAGTTTTCATGCCGTTTAACTGTTGAGAGGGTTTTTCTCTTGACTTTCAACTTTTCCTGCGTTTTCGCCAGTGGAAAAAGTTTGAAATTGGTACGGAAATTTGAAATAAAATCAACCTTTTCAAAGTCTACTGGAAGTGAAATTGTTATTGGATTATTATGAGAGCGCGCGTAATCAATCTCTGTGGAAAATAGTTTCCTTCTTAATCGTCTTCTCTCAGTGTGCTGAAAAGGATGAGTGAATGCAAAAGCGGGAAATGTTCAGGGATTGTATAAGAAACTTGTGCGGATGAAGCCACAAGATAATGAAGTTGTTCTGAGAAGGCAGTGTGACTTGACAGGGCAACAAGTTAGTCCATCAAGACATGCTGACGAGCACCTGAAAGGAGTGAGTGAAGCATAAATTAAATTCTCCAGATGATTAAAACAACCATTTACCCGTTTGATATGGAGCACACTCTAAATACATTTGCCTGCCCTTTAAATTAATTTCTCAAAAGGTACTCCTTCGCATCTTTCCCCTCTCAGGACATTATTAAATTCTCACACGAAAATTCCACATTTCATGCATTTCTCATGGGATTTTTCTCATGGTGAGACGCTGAGAGCAAAGGAAGTTATTAGTTTTGGCGAAAAGGGAAGAATGCGGGAGGATGAGATTGAATTATGCACAGAGATTCAAAAACAATTTTGCATGATTTTCTTTTCCACACTGGCAAAGTGCAGCATCCTGTTGGACAAGGAGGAGTGCAAGCATTGTTGAGAGGAAAGTTGAATCAATGTTGAATGGTAAATACTTTATGGCTGAAGAAACAGCAATATAAATAAATTTTCCTCAAGTTTTCCTCCTAGTGATTCATAGCCACACAAAACTTTCCCATTCAGCATTATTTGTTCCAAAAGTTATCGATATTTTTTTTTCACTCTCGAATTGGCGCCAAAAGAGAGGAAGAAAAAGAAACCCAAAATTATCTGATGACAGTTTTCTGTATTAAAAAGTTTACTGGAAATGAAGAAAAAAAAATTGTGGACAAATACACATTCTTGCTAAATTATAGGCAACTTTCAAAGTGAATTTAAGAAGAAGTTGTCGATTGTGGTGATTTGCAATAGCATAAATTGTACCCTAATTTTCAATACACTCAATGCAATATTAATAATTCAAACTGCTCTGAAATTTATGCTTATAAAACTCCCAAAGAAGTTTATTGAACGCCACTTAATTAGTTAGGAATACATAATTAATTGGCCAATAATCACCTAAAATGTTTTCTACGAACTCAACTTCCTTATGACTTCCTCAACTCTACACTTCATTAGGAAGTATGACGCAAAAGTTGGTCTTTCTCGCAAATTTCCAATGCGTGAGTAATTCAATTAACTTTTCCTCTGAACACGATAGAAATTCTCTTCTTCACTCTTTCATCTTCTTTGATGAGCATTCAAATGACATCTCGAATGCCATTTTCGTCGGTTTTATTCATAGTGGAATGTTTGAAATGCACTTCCGAGGTAATAATTCTCTTCATATTCTCCGTGAGTAATTTCACTGAGACGTGCTCAAGGAGTTGTTGACAATTAAAAAGGATTTATTTCCGTATGCTCATTAAAATTACCACCACGAACTCCCAAGTGAGACCATCTCAAAGGCAAAAATGGTCACCCAGTGAAATGAAAAGACTTCTGCACCATCGATTTTTCAGTGTTGGACCTTTTGAGAAGCCTCAGGGACTTTGTAAAGAGTCCAAAGTGCACAATTCTCAGAATAAGTAACATACAATTGATTGGAAATAAAATCTTCCCTTCAGCAAATCTTTAACTTCTGCATTTCCGGAAAAAATGTGAGGCGACAGAGGTGAAAGGGAAACTCACAGATTAGTTTGGTACAATGAGGATTTATGTAGCGTGGCATCACCTTTTTTTGTCCCTGGTGCATCTCAAAGGAGAAACTGTGGGAGAAGTTCTCCGCCGCACATGCACTTGAATTGTGTCTCCAGCTTCCGCCATCTATTTTACACCTGGCAAAGTCTCCCGAGAGTGTCCCTCACTTTATGATTAAACTTTCCCTCACTGACATCCCACCAGACACTTAATTAACAATTTATTGATGCGCCACACGAATATTTCATCCCTGGGCATTGAACAAGAAATTACAATTATTCTCACGACGTCTCACGCTTCATCCCTATTTATATGGGGTGTTCTCGCCATCCCAATGGAAGTGTCTTACTTTGGGGCGGATGCAAAGTGAAACGGTGCGCTGGTTGATTTCATATTCACTTTAATTTGGTGCATTCAGCAGAAGAGTTTTTAGCGGTGCCCTTTAGAGAATTGACAGATATTGTAGGCGGATTATTTATATAAAAAGCAGCAAAATATGCATGCTCGTTCAACATTTGAGAGCTTCATAACGAGTGAAATTCCATAGAGTGCCATTGGTACAACAACAGCAAACTGTAAGTGGAGGGAAAAAGCACAGAGAAGGTTTTAAAAACTGTATTCACAAGTTCACATTTACTATTAATACTCTTATTGCTGTTGAAGGACTTTACCTTTTCGATTGTTATTCACAATCCTTTATTGAATCCCATGTGCTATCGCTATTTTCTCTTCGGTAGACTCTCTGTCTGCATTTGATAATGAATCATTAGGTCTGCATAAGCGCGCGATTAAGCGCAACCTTAAGCATTGTGCAAAGTACCTTGGCGCTATATTCTCAACCACTCCAGCATGATGGCTCTTTGTCAGCGTGGCCGTAGCAAAAGCCAGGGGAAGAGCAGTCCCCGAAACGTCTGTGATTGATGAAGGTGCATGAGCTCGACAGTGTGAACATCATATTCCATTTGTTGAACACTCCAGAGATGATGCTAGACGAGGTGAGCATCTGGCACAATGCAAATGTTCATTGCCTCCTCAAGTGTGGCACGCGAGGGTGGGCGAAAAACCACCCAGAAAGCCCCTCGGAAAGCCCCTGCATGAGCACACACTCTCCATGCACTTCCAGCCAAAGTAATTGCACACCATCGCCGAAAGAGCACTCGAAGCAGAAATTCATATTTGAGGCAATATGATTAATAATGCTGTTATCAGGAGCCCATTAAACAATTACCGTTGTGCAATAATTTATACAATTTTATCGCGGACATTTTTCTGCCATTGGAACAGTAATGAAATTAATTATTCAGAATTTCGTACATTTCATCCCTCTCTCTCGCACGTGAAATTACCCACTCCACTCGAGACAGTCTCCTCACACCCCTTATTATGTATGTACATGGTTGTGGTGAATATAGCGGAGACACAAAAAGCTTGAGCTTTGAGGTGAATTTTGCTAATGAGACGAGGGTTGCTCAGAAGGTGGAAATATTGTTCAATTAGTTTCTGAACGGAATGAAATTGAGGAGAAACTAATTGGAAGAGAGCATAATTTTATATAAAATCATAAATTATTTCCTTTCTATGAAGACTTTCATGTAAATACCACATGGAGCGAATCTTCATTGCAATTTTCACAATCTTTCCCGAAACTTTGAGGGTTGTTGCACGTATATTGAACTCTAAACCTACATAGGGTGGTGTTTGGTGGGGAGATTGGCTGAATAAGACCTAAAACACCCACTTTGGCGGGTAAATCAGATCGAACGCGGGCAAATCCACCCTCATGTGGAGTGGGCAGGGCGCTAACATTTCGGGATTAGGATTAATTCTCGACACTGACACTTTGGCACCGAAGGGCATG